AACTTAATACCCGACAGCTTTTCAAAAAGTCTTAAAATAAAATTGTGGAAAAATGATTTTGCTGAATTGCCCTGCGGCTTTGAATTAAGTTCATTCAGGTGTGAAGTGATAATAAACTTCTCTCATCTTCTAAAAAGAGACATTTCCAGTCTCACTGACAACTTTAATGCATTAAGCTCAATTTAAATAATTCGATTTTTTTGGGTAGTTACAATAATGACTACTTTCCTAGAAATAGGAAGGAAAAGCTGAATGTAGCTGAATTCACCTCAAATACACTCAAAAAAGTGGTGCAATTCTAAGAGATAAAGACAAACATTTTCACACAGAAAGGCATATCAGTCGTGGTAAACCACAGAAAAAAGAAAAAAAAAGTGTCGAGAGGGGGGTTAGCTCAACTGCACATCCGTGCACCTACACACACAGATGAAGGACGAATAATGTCTTACTGAAGTGGTCACATATAGGCGGACAGCGTTATGACTCCTGACCCGGACGTCACTCCATCTGGACCCTCGACCTACAGCTGAAATATAATTTCGACACGTGAAGTAGCACTTCTGTTTCAAGGGTCACAACCTTTCTGGCGTTTAACAAAAAGTGGTCATGAAACACATCGGCCGATAACATCTGTGGTAAATCTAACACGATAATACTATGCCAATTAAATAATAGAGTTGTGATAAACTTCCAAACTCGAGCGGGATTTACACACACAGGAGAGCCGTGCAACAGGCCGAGTAATCTGAGAATAATGAGATTCAGAGAAGGTACTTTATATGAAGCTCTTCAAAAAGGTTAAATGAACAAAGCACCACAAGCAGTGAAAGATTGCGCTTATACCAGTTGGAGGTACAACTGTGCAGGTAACTACTGGTGGAAGATTAATAATTCAGAGATCTAGAAATCAATAAATCTAAAAATTAATATATAAAATACATTTATCCAACAAGTTTTTACATCCAGGGAAATCAAAGCGTACTGCAGCGTGTGTAATGACGTTTACTTTAAAAGAAATTGAAAATTTCGCGATGAATAGAATCGAACAGCGCACCAGAGAGTAATGCATAATGTTGTAATGTCTTACTCCCACAAGTAAATCCTCGACTCCCCCACGCACCTACGCTGACTGTCAAGATTCATCAAGTTACTGCTCTCTCTCTCTCTCTCTCTCTCTCTCTCTCTCTCGTACCCTGCTTTAAAAAAATCCAGCGTAAATAGGAGATATGATTAAAAACCGTTGAATGCTCTTGAGAGAAACACAGGAATCAATTAATGTGTTGGTCTTTTGATCAGAGACACTGGAGGTGAACTTTGCTTGTTATTAAAGGACAGGGGGAGCAGTAGAAAAGCCTTTTGCTCACGCCAATCATCTTACCCAGTGTGGTGGAGCCTGCTAATGTGATTTGCTGAGCTGCGAGATGCGGGTTCCTCCAATGAAGATGGACTTCTCCCCTCAGGTAGCACATCAGGAATCCGATCACGAACACCTGGTTTTCTTTGCAGCATCAATTCATGAGTCTGTCCTAAATAATAGTGTAAGATAGCAAAGCATGAAGCCGTAGCTGTCAATGAAAATTAAATTCATCACCGAGAGTTGAAGGGTTACTGTTGGGGAGAACATTGTGTTGCAAGTAGTTGAAGCTTAAGAAATGCAAAGATTGTCACCAAATGAAAACATCAAACCCGGTGCAGTAGCTATTTGTTGTACTGACAACAACAGGTTTTTGTGTGTAACCGCAGCGAGGAGAAACGTATTAATAATGAATGATGATGCTCAAATATCAGCTGAAAAATCCTGTGAGAGCCCACCGTAATAACCGATGGTCCGTGGTGTATTAGTATGCGCTGCAAGGTGGGGAATCTGTTATCAAATTAGGTCACAATAAGGTGTTTAAAGCATATTCCTTCTCGGCCATGGCACATGTCTAAATGCAAATCATTCTACCATGAGACTTAGAAGGGGTTACGGGGGAGTCCATTGAAGTGTAAATATTAATAAAAACTCATAATTGTCTCTTTTTATCAAAAGCCTTAACAAAACGCCACCTCGCTGCATTGAAGAAGAGAAGATACGACTGCAGCATCCTGATCTGCAGCTGCTCTCTTATGAGACATTTCAACAATGCACGACTATCAGCAGGGATTTAGAAATACTGAGCTAAGAGCGTAAGGTAGTATTGGGGTGTGTCCTCCTCTTCTGATTTTATTTTTAATTTCCTTGATTTAAATATTTCAATGCCAGCGGTCATGCATGGGAAATCAGTGTTGCAATCAATGATTGTAAATGTCTAAAAAATACAGCTACACTTTTCATAAAAAAATCATGTTATGATAATGTTTAACTAAAGTCTAAAGTCAAGTTGGAGGTAAAAGTAATTTCACACTATGGTCCTCTCTCACTGTATTCACCGCCTGTTCCTTCCTCTGCGACTCCTCACTTGTCTCTCCTACCATCCTGTATTAAAACAATCCATTTTCTTGGCTGGGTTTTGTTCGTGACTGCTTTCCTAAGCGGCTGGATTAGCTGCTCAAACCTTACTTTCCTCTGTAATGTCGTCCCTAAACGGAGGTCTTTCCGAACTACTTGTAAGAAATCAAATGGATTGTTGTGATTATTTCATGAAAGTGAGTGTTAAACTTACCAGCTCTCATCACTGGACCACGTAAATGCACAAGACTGTATTTGTAGATCTCCACTCACACACACACAATCACACACATAAGCAATGACGACAACCAGATGAGCAAGCCGGTAACCTTGGCGTTGTACAATATCCATGCCGCACACGTGTTATTTTTAGCCGTAAAATTCTGTGGTCAGGGCCTCGTTGTCCTCAAAAGTGGGTTTGGCCGTGTCACCCTGAATCACATTTACTTTTACGTTTGCAGCTTACATAAGCTACCAGCAAAAGATGGACAGCCGCCCGGTGAGAGTTGCACACCATTGTGAGTTCGTGGCGGAGATTTGAGTCATGCTCTCAGCAGGGACCATATTGAATTTAAATGTGATATCTGTTAGGAATGAAGAAACCCGAGGGAGATGGCCCAAATATTTATCTCACTGCCAAAGACACTATTGGCCCACAGGAACACTTTTTATAAATACATGTGCATGTGTTTATAAGCTCTTTTTTTTCCTGTGCCATCCCAGCAAAACACGTCGTGTCCACAGATAATTTTGGCCGTAAAGGGTGTTGAGTTGAGAGCCTATAAAAGAAAGCAGCAGGTGGGAATAAGAAGGAAGGTTGTAGAGGACGTCTTTGTTCCTCCATCTTCTCTAATGAGCTTCAAATTGCAGCAATCCTCCTGCAAGAACCAGCCGGGTTTAAATCTTTTTACAAATAACACCTTGCTTTGACGATTCAGAAAATGGAAATCTGCGAGATTCAGGTCAAGGTAGACAAAGTCAAGGTAGGAGGCAATACATGTCAGGACATATTAATAACTGAACGGGAGTAGTCGTAGGAAGTTCCAACAACATCAGAAAATTCAGGCTGCAGCAATGCTCAACTGCAATTTAAAGAAGGACGGAATATTTAATTCTTATCGGAAAACCATTATTCTGAACACAAAGACAAGAACATTGATTCCTTTTCTGTTGAAAACAACACACAAATCGGTTCAATCGGTTCATGTTTTTAAAGTAAAATGTTTTTATTGTAGATATGAAGGACAAGACAACAGTACAGGATTGGGGATAGGTTCATTAAATATGAATGGGACAGGGATGACTAACTGCAGCTGGCACCATTGCCAACATGTAAGAAAAACAAAACCAGGGCTGTGGATACGAGGTATGAAAGCACGTCTCCCCAGTCTCTGCCAGTGAGATGCAGGGAGTTCTAAAAGAAATTCGAAATATGGGCATAAATGTCAGAGGGCTGAGTGGTATAAAAGTGTAATTGCTGCCTACACTGCTCTTATCGTTATCATCTTATCATTTTCACAGCTGCTCTCATTTATTTTAATAGTTCTTATTATAGCTGTTGTAATGGTTGTTGCTACTAAAAAATGAAAGTAAATATTCTACACAACCTAAGAAATGACTAACCAGTTTTGAGCTGTGAACGATGAAAAGGAATACTGATGAATATGATAATAATATAGATAGGTTTGGATTATTTCAATTTAACTTTTGTGATGTTGTTGCCACAAAATGAAAATAGCCTTGTTTCCTTCTAGTTTTTGTTTTTCAATCCGTTATGTAGACATTATTATTTAACCTTGTGACAAGTGCAAGAGTTTACACCCATTAACACACATAGGCAAGCATGCGTGCATGAACACACACACGCACGCACACGCGGACTCACACTACAATCCGGACCCCGGTGGTCCAGAAAATTGCCATAACCTCAAACTCTAACGGTGACTACTGAGCCGTTCCACCGGGTCCGCTGGGGGTTAAGTGCTCTATCGGAGCGCAGTTTGATAGTGGATGGTTCATTAGGCACTTCATTAACTGTATTTACAGACCAAAATTCCAATGTGCATGAGTACATATCATGTCAACTGTCACAACTGATGCTGAAAACTCCTTTCGTTTTCTTTTGGAGGAAAATACCTGGCTCATAGACAAGGGTTTATAGACCATTGGCACTGACGTTTCATAAACCTTCCACAACGAAGGCAATTCGTTGTGGAAGGTTTCGGCAAAATCAGTCCACCTAACGTTTCAAATAAGGGCTAGTTAAGTAATCCTGATGGTTTGGTTAAGTTTGTTCAATAAATATTTCCTGTTCAATTGTACAGTTGATGTCTCCCTTCCAATATAAGCCTGTGGGAAAAAAAGATTTTTTGGGCCAATCATATTGAACCTTAAAGTTGTATTTCTACTGTTTGTTCACAATGTAAAATGACTTTCAAAGCCTGGCGCTCTCCCCTAGGGCCTGAGTACATACAGTATTTCTGAGAAGGGTTAGAAAAACCGGCTTTGCAGCATTGCAAACTAGCTCCTCACGCGACTCCTCCCACAGGTCAGCTTTTCTAGTCTAGCTTTCGTGTGCGTGCGCGTGCATGTCTTCACATTGCCAGCTGCTGCAGACCCGGATGCGTATCCATGTTCGCCTGCGGGACAACCTGAAGGACAAATCCTTTTCCTGTGTACTGGCATTACAGGGGGGGTTTGTCAGTGAGGATTTCCGCGGCCATGGATTGCCTTGACGGATCCGTTCAGTTCAGGAACTTCAAGAAGGACAACTTTGAGGATGACTGGATTAAGGTGTCGGAATGCAGATTTGGTCACCTGTACCGGGTGAAGCTCAAGCCTCGGCAGGAAAAATGTGCCTTGAAGAGGTTTGACAAAACATTGTGTGCAAACAACTTTTACAGGTGGGATTTCAATTATTTAAACTAATTAAACAAATTGTACATCATCCTGCTTTTAGGTACAAGCAACTAGACGGATTCACAGCATTTTCTCTGTGTATTGCCACACCTGTAATTGAAATGTTTCCAAACGTGTTCTGGTTTGATGAGTCGTTGAAACGTATTCATTCTCTGATATAATCAGCAGGTGTCATGGTTTGTTACTACGACCCTAACAAAACTTCTCAAAGTTTGACATGGTAAAGAATGGTTCTTGCTGTGATTGAAGTTCAAAGTAACTATTAAAGCAATAAAGCCCAAAGCAACTTTCCCTGACCAATATTTTTCTCCATCACAGGAGAATAATAGACGAGGCGTCCAACATCGCCAAAGTGAAATTCAAGCACATTGTGCCTGTTTACGGACTGTGCAATGAGTTGAATGCTGTGGTGATGGAGTACATGAGTAATGGCTCGCTGAATGATCTCCTCGCCAGTCACACTTTCATGTGGCCAAAGAAGTTGCAAATGATTTATGAGGCCTCTATGGGAATGAATTTCCTTCACAGCATGAATCCTCCACTACTTCATCTCAACCTCAAGACCTCCAACATTCTACTAGATGATTGTCTCCATGTCAAGGTCAGCAAACATTATTGAATATTATCAGTGTACGATTACACTGATCTCTGGAGATTTCGGAGATTTCTTTTGTGAATTCTTGTTTTTCCACCAAGATTTCAGATTTTGGTATAATCCACTGGGAGGAGAGCACGGGCAATACAAAGTTCATGGAGCATCTGACAGCAAGAGGAAACATAAACTACATTCCTCCAGAGACCTTCACTCAGTGCCCTGATCCGCCAGGAACTGCCTTTGATGTTTACAGGTGACTTGCCAAGGACATTTTTGAAATTGCACCATCACAGTCACTGCTTACCCCTCCCCCCCGATTGAGAGCACAACTCATATATATGTTGTCCTTTCCTCTTTCCCCTAACGCAAGACATATTCTATATACTATACTCATGTCTGACATTGGTTGGTTCCTTAATGACGCCATATTTTTATTTTTTAGAGAGGGACTGTCCCAATATTAAATAAATGCAGGATACGTCAGAAAGTTACGACTGAAGTGCCTTTTTCTGCTTCAATCCACAGCTTTGGAATAGTGATGTGGGAGATCCTGACTCAGCAGAAACCGTATGCAGGTAGAGATGAACTCATTTCAAATGCATCACATTTTTTATTTCAAGACGATTCCTCAGTGTTACTTCAGCCAGCAGTCATGCAACATTTCACACGATCACTCAAACAAAGTGAGGGTGAAGGCATATTCATCTTAAGGTTTCTAGAATTACATTTCAGTCAAACTATTCATATTGTTTCCATTGTTGCAAAATTAACATGACAGAGAGACCCTTTCTCTCCCAGTTGCTACAGATGTGCACAGCACAAATCTCCTGATGTATCGCCATTTATTCACAGTGTTTAATTGAGATAGCATACTAATGGTTTATATAGATACAGAGGTTACAGGAGCACACTGTCCAACATCCTTATGCATTTGTGCTAATGCAAAGGAAAGGAACTCCAATGCTTCCCTACTTAGCTCCTTTAGCAGAGGAACCACTGGACCATCCTTTACGAAAGGAAAGGAGATAATTCCCTCCCACAATTCCTTGGGGCATATGATTGTGTTTGTCTTTATTGAACCTCGTGATCTATATCTGCTCTATTGGCCCCAGGGTGCAGTGTGACCACAGTATTCCTACAGGTGTCCCAGGGTAAGAGACCCAGTGTGGAGATGATACCTGAACCCAAGCCGCAAGAGTGTGATCAGATGATGGACATCATGGGGCAGTGTTGGAGCGAAGACCACAGGAAGAGGCCACAGTTCTCAGGTGCGAAAAGTCAAAGATGTGTTAATGGAGCTGCAGCTCTTTGTGTCACTTGCTTATTCTTACATCAGCTGAGCTGGTGCTGTCACAGAAAAAGACGTTTTCTCAAATGGGTTGAGATGAAAAATAACACGAATCTGACATTGGTTTGATTTGGAAAATGAGTAACAGTCCTTTCCTTCACATCTGTTTTGTTTGCAGACACTGTGAGGAAAACGGAGGCGCTAAACCAAAGACTGAATATCCCAAAACAAATCGAAATCCAAAATGGTGACGAGGGACAGAAATCAGATTATCCGATGCTGGTTTCTACGATGCATGAAGTTAGTCCTGCTTCAAACTTTATTTGAATGGAATTGTAGCATATATTTAAAGTCTAATAATACTTAGTGGGAAGAGGTAAAAGCTTGACCTCTAGGGTAGTTATATGAAACTTTACAAATTTAAGGAAAATATCTACGATATTTAGAGAATATGGTACCTTTCTTAGGTAGTTATAGGTCATCAGTATCATGTTCTTATCCCTCTAATCCTCTCATATTTTATTTATTTTAATGAACTAGAGTGACATCTGACCTTTTATCTCACACTAAAGACTCTCTGCTCCCAATAAAAAATAAATAGAGTACTATGCGCGGTCACTTTGAATTCCAATGTTCACATATTGATTGATATATGTGCTTATTAACAACTTGTGACGGCTGGTGTCACAGCAAATAACATTTTCCTTTCTTTATTTTCCATTTTAGATGGCTTTGCCTGAGATACCTGACCTTCCCTCAGGTAAACATAGAGATAGGAAGGAAAATCATATTGCACTATCACGCCTGGAGGGCTGACATTTAAGAGGTGCTATGTACAGTGCTGTCACATTTAAAAAAAGATGTGTTAGTACTGAAAAGCAATTATTTGTGGAAAGGTGGATAAAAGGAACATCCACTCAGCCTCTTTGATCTCTTTTCTCTAAAATGTGGACTGTATTATGTTTAGATAATTCATAATAATTTTTATTGATAATTTCACAGCCTCTCTGTGAAACTATAAATCTATTGCCACTTATTTTCAAATACTAATGCAGACGGTATTGAACCACAGCTTCCAGAGACCCTTCTCCTCTGCCATCATTTACAGGTGCACTTTATTGCACACAAAACAATTTGGAATTTAATACAAGAACAGAGAAACCACTCTGGCACACTAATAACACCATTTCTACAGCTATGATTGACACATAATCCCACTAATTTCATTTCACAGATGACCACTGTGCCACGAACAGCATTCTCTCTCTGCTGGACAAAAGGGAGTTTGGTACTTTTAAACATTCAGTAAAAAGAGAGCATGTATTCACCCAGTTTTCAGATAAAAAGAGCCTCCTGCACTACACTGTTGCCAGCGGGGACGCAGAGAGTGTCGAGCATGTCCTGAGTCTGGGCGCTGAGGTCAACTGTACGACTGCAAGAGGCTACACTCCTCTTTTTATTGCTGTTTTGCACAGGTGTGTATAGAAATATATTTTAAAAAATGTATTGAGACTCAAAGAAATTTGGTATTATCGGGCATTTCAAAGTCTTTGCAGTTTTAAGTTCAACCACAGACCTAGTCTCCCTCTATTTGACGTTAAGGAATAGCGCAATATTTTGGAACATTCTGTTGTGTGCATTCTAGCCAAGAGTTAAAGGGAGAATATTAAACCGACTCTCATGTTTGTGAGCTACATCCAAAAGACGGATCTAAAAATTGGAGTCGCTGCCGGCAACCCAGCTTTGATAACGACAAGTCAGTTGTACTCACACCCTATAAATGGAAATTCTACCCTACAGGTTTCAGGACATCATCATTTTGTTGCTGGAACACGGTGCATCTACCACCCAGGTAGACGAGGACCAGTGGACAGTTCTCCATTTTGCTGCTCAGAGCGGCGATGACAGGGCGGCCCGTCTCCTGTTGGCCAATGGAGCTGTGCCAGACGCTCGGGAGAAAAAAGGTTGGACGCCCCTTCATCTGGCCTGTCAGAATGGCCACGAGACAGTGGTGCGCGTGCTGCTTTCACGGCTGTCAGGGGAGTTAGCCAGACAGGGGGAGGCGCAAGGGAGGACGCCGCTACATCTAGCCTCCGCCTACGGCCATTCGCACATCACCAAGCTCCTCCTCTCTTGGGGAATGGATCCCAACGCCACCGACAATTCCCTCTCTACTGCCCTTCATGTGGCGGCGGAGAAAGGCCACAACAGAGTGGTCCGACAGTTAGTGAAGAGTGAGGTGAATATTGACAGCGCCGACAGCAGAGGATACACTCCGCTTCACCTGGCAGCTTTCCAGGGTCACACAGGCATATGCAGGACGCTGTTGGTAAAAGGAGCCAGCCCAGAATGCAAGACCCTGCAAGGGTGGACCGCCATGCATCTGGCTGCCCTCAGGGGACATGAAGCCACGTTGGTCGAGCTGGAGGGTAAGGGCGGTAGTGTGAATGCCCGGGGCAAGAATGGGTGGACCCCGCTCCACCTCGCCTGCCACCAGGGCGAGCCTGACGTGGTGGCAAAGCTCCTGGCAGCCAAAGCCCATCAGAACGCGTCGGAGGACAATGGAGGATGGACGCCGCTACATTTAGCTTGTACTAGCGCCAGTTTGCCAAGTGTCCTCCACTTGATATCCCACGATGCAGATGTTAACGCGTTGAGCGCAGGAAAGGCGACGGCTTTACACCTCGCTGCGCAGCAGGGCTGTGTGCCCATTGTAGAGGCTCTGCTGCTGAACGGAGCCGACAGGACCCTGATGGACTCCACTGGATCAACAGCTCTGGATGTGGCCCAGAGGTGTGAAAAATGGGAAATGGTGCAACTGTTAGAGAAGTATTAGTGAAAACAAGATAAGTGTAAGAAGCTAAATGAAAACCACAATGCCACAGCTGGAATATCATCCTCCAGCTAAGAACAGTGGGTACGGTTTAGTTGTACTTTGTGTCGAGGTTACACAACACAACGCAACAACATGAGCCTCTGGTCACCAATTCCATTCCAAGCATGCCAGAAAACTACAGATGCCTTCAGGTAGAGATTTGTATCTTTATCATGTTATTCATAAGAGCAGATACTTTACCTATACTTTATTTTTGAATACATGAATAGTGTCGTATTCTAGTAGTATTCCAGCGTGGCTGGGTGACAGTCGCTAGCCATCTCTACTTATGGGTAACGGCAAAACTCAAATGGCTTCGTCTCGAGCCAGCGCATGTTGGCGCTTGTCTGTTCGGAACGGGGTGAGGTGCTGGAACGCTGTCTCCGTGGAAGAGAAGCTGCTCCTTATCTAGCAGTGGCCGCATCCGCTTCAAAACTTTTGCATTCACGTACCGTGCAGTGAAAGGATCGGGTCCAGTCTACATCCAGGACATGGTCAAACCTTACATTCGTACAATCCGCACACTGCGCTCTGCAATTGCATCTTTGCTGTCCTTGCTGGTGGAATGGTGGAACGAGCTCTCTGATGACATCAGGACCGCAGAGAGCCTTCACATCTTCCGCCGCAAACTAAAGACACACCTCTTCAGACTCTACCTTGACTAAAAGACACAAAACAAATTGTAGCACTATAATTGCACTTATAATGGCTCTATTGTGTTGTGAATTAGCTTATTTGATGAAATTGCACTTTCTTGTTTCTTGTTCTTCTGGGTTTGTATCCTCATGGTCGAAATGCACTTATTGAACGTCGCTTTGGATGAAAGCGTCAGCTAAAGGACATGTAATGTAATGTAATATATATATATATATATATATATATATATATATATATATATATATATATATAAATGGTTATTTAAAGCTATGTAAAACATTATGATTTGTAGTTTAGATCATCATACACTAATTGTTTTGCTTGTGATTGCTGAATGTCTTCCAAATAATGACTCTAAATGTTACACACAACATTTGTAATGGTAAAATATGTTATAACATTGTTTTGTGCTAAAGCCGTGTCTCAAGTGTCCTGTATTTGACCCTGATGTGCAAAGAGCAGCATGATACAAAATGTTAGTTTGCAGCTGTGCCCTGAGAAGGGAGGACGGTTGACTCGATCTCATAGAAGCTTCAAAACAAAGGACTCCTCTTCATGGCCTTGGTTGATATCTTATTCTGTACGAAAGTTCTGGATCCAAGTTTTACTTTCATGTCAATTAATTATGATTTGCACCGGCCACTGAGGAGGATCTTGTGTGTGTGTGTGTGTGTGTGCTACCCTCAGCTTCACCTGGGTTCTTATCTCAACCTGCTTTGAAGCTTCTCGTAGCTGGCACGGAGAATGTCCTCCACATGTGTATAAAAACTCAGCGTCCACAGAGCACCGTGATACGTGCCTGTGTATTTGACCTCCTGCTTGCAAGCAATAAATGGACTTTTTGCAACTTTGATCATTCATCAAGACTCTGTTTTATCAGACAAATCATTCTCTTCTACCGAGCTTTTATTGAAATATTCCACAACACATTTTAAATAGTTTTGGGTTTATTATGTTATTTACTATTTGTTAACGGATGTAGTGTTAACAGCATTGGTGTTTTCTTATACCAAATCAAATATATATGAATTGAAATATATATAAATTCCTGACAGACATTACAGTATAATGGAAAAAGAGAGGGAGCCTATATATGGGGTCGGCTTCAGGTTAAGTACCCTATAATGACAAAACACATATTGATTTCCCTCTCTTACTCACCTCGCTTGCTTACGCTTTCCTGGCAAATGCAATTAATGCCCAGCTGCCATGTGAAAATGAAAATTTAAAAGAGCTGCTGCCGTAATGATATACAGAGATTTATTTGATTAAATCTTGGATCCCACTTGGAAATCTTGCTTAGATATGTCTATTGAACTCAAATACATTTATTCTTTATGACAAGCCAAGATAACTCTGATTATCCACTATTCCCAGGCTGAGCGGAGCACCATCCAGCTTCATTTACCACAGTGACGCCTTGTTAGATTTAAATGAAATGCAGGGAATTAGGAGGAAAAGGGTTTCCACTGGATCCACAAGAGACTGACGGGGATGGAGGGGTTTCTTTTTTCTTTTTCGGATTGCTATGTAGGGGTCCGCTGTGTTGTTTTGAAATGGATGTTTTATTCTGAAGCTTCATTTTGTTTTCTTCATGACATGGCTTGTTTAGGTTGTACCGCGCGAAGGAAACCCTATTTCTATGATTGTTATCAACAGTAAACCATCAGGTGACAATTTAACGGATGTGAATGACATACATCCGTGGAATCCACAGAGCTCTGTCAACAGTCATTTTGTCTTTTTGATCGTTGAAATGAAACTTTCCTCTGTGTTTAACTATACCATCGTTCTACCGACAGTTCCTGAAAAATGAAACACACTTTTCCAACAATATCTAATCAGGCCCGACCTTAATCGATGGTGCTGCCCCATCCTTTTTACACATAGGTGACACATCGGATACCTTCTATCAGCCAGTAATTGGGTTTGCACTGACCTAAACTAATTGTATTGTCTAATAGGCAGACAAGCAAGAAGAAGAAAATGCCATGTAAGTTGTTGGTTCAACAAACACCACAGAAAGAAGAAGCCTGCGATGTGTCCTTGCTTCCTTCCTTAACTCTGCTTATGTAACATATGCATCATTCATAAACATTAAAACAATAGTTCAATGATATTATATAATGTCCATTTTGTGCTTTGGCGAACACATTGTTTTAAATTTAAGAACTAATTTCAAGAGGGTTAGCAAAAAAAATGTTCCACCCATGCAATTTAAATATGAGTTGCTGCTTTCAAAGGCCCAGAAAGGTTTCACAACCAAACTAATTGCAAGCAATTGGCATATGAAATAGCATTTTCAACAACATTTAGATCATTTGGATATGAGTCCTGCTCCTTGTGGTATTTGATTCTATTTGAAGTCCAGTGTTACCAGAATGCCGTAACAGTCTTCAGCGTGTTCAAGGTTTAAAGAGCACTTATGAAATGGTTGCATAAAGATTTGTTGCAATGATGAAAAGGGCTTTCTGGTGCTCACAGCTGTCATCTGTGATATACTTATTGGTATATTTAGCTTCTCAGTGGAGGGCCATTACAAGCTTTCTGCAGAGCTGCTCTTAAACTAGCAGGGTTTAATCTGGCCACTGAGCAGCGCCCTGTGGTGTTAAGCAGCTGCAATCAAGACGGATGCTGTCTTTTGATCCAGGTGCGCTGGCTCAGCAGGGCCAAGCAGGCATCTCTGCTCCTCGGCCCGGTAATAGATTGAGTGATCTATCATCCCTCCTGAGTGATGATTTTTCTTTTTCTGACTGATGATATGGAAAAACAATGTTTCCCTTGTCATCTCTTTGAGACCTCTCACTTTTCAATATGGCAACGGAGAAACACCCAACGTTGGTCTCTCTAAGTCCCCAAGGTTACTGCGTGCTGCAAGTTCTCTTTTTCCATTATAATTTTATTTTCATTCATTATTATTATTTTATTATAATTGAGGAAAACGTTCACTTCCTCTTCACATAAACACTTTGAACAGCTTTTAAAGAAAGAGCACACATTGGATTTGGAAAGATTACACTCGATTCATGTTTTAAAAACATAATCTTAATACAGCAGAATGTATTTTCCAAGCTATTGAACATTTGAAATTGAATGGCCTTGTTTTCTGCTGTGTGTTCGTATTATCTCCCTCAGCTTCTTTCCTTGGCGTTGTCATGTTTCTCTAAAATGATTAATGGTGGATATCACTTCTATCTCGCTAGCAAAGACTATGAACCCCAAACACTTTACACTATTTGAATACCATAGAAGTACTCTATGCATAGTTTAGCAGCGTCTCCCAGGTACTAGGACGGATGGTAGGTGAAATTAAACACAGCATCGTATCAGTGGCCCTACACTTCAATTTATGTTAAATGTCACGTTACTTATGGGGGGGTGGAGAGGAGGAATTCTGTAGAGACAGTGTGTGTATGGAGGAGGTCAGGGGTCAAGAGACAGAGTGAATGCTGTTTGTATCTTGTGTGAAATCAAAAGTCAATGTCAGGTTATTGTAACCGATTTAAGTTAAGATGCGTAACGCTTAGCTTACGTTTCAAACGTAAGCGTCAACAAATACTTCATATTTGTTTGTCAGTCTTAGACTTTGGGAACTGTAACTGGAACAACACGGAGGCCCTTGTGTGTGTAAGATTGAGTTGTAGTCTCTATGTGCCAAAAACAACTCAATGACTGCATATTGAGAAGTATTAGAAACCAAGAAACGAAATACTCAACGAATACATACTCATGTTTCAGCAGTTTTTCTTTCGCTGAAATTATTTGTGCACCCATTTTTACCAAAGCAGAAAAACAGAAAAAGGGCAAAGGGCAAACTCTGGTGAGAAGAAAGGCAACAAACAAAAGTTGCATGTTAACGTCAAAATGATATATTGCTGCTGTAGTGCAATGGGGATGAGATCACAATATCATAACGATCAAACACTTCTCTCCTTGGACGAGCTAAAGCGACAGTGAATCAAACACCACTCACAGGTAGGGAAGATAGGTATCTTTCATTTCCTCATATCTCCCCATTTTGTCCTTCAGCCTTCAGTGAAGATTGCGTACCTTTGCAGATGAACCAGAATTGTTTTCATCCCCTGCCTCTTTTTTCTGCTTACAACAACACACCGCAAAGCTTCAGTTAATCCGCTTGCTGCTCCCTCCCTGTCACTCTTGGCAGGCCCCTCAGTTACTAAGTATATGCATTATTAAGTAAGGAATTGCATGCAGGTACATCAAACAGCATTCAAATATGCAGGCGTGCAAATATGCTGTGCTGTGCAAAGATGAGACAGCTGTTGAAAGCTACACAGTGACACTGCATGACTGGAACTAAGATTAAGATTTTGATAAAGAATGTTGCAGTCAGAGGCTACATATGTATTTAACCCCCGAATAACAAATAATCCCTGATTTTGTCCTGGAATGGTAAATTACTGTATAACATAACAACAGGCCAAGAGGACCAGGCTGGTTTAGGCTACTGTGCAGATTTGTTTACAATTGAAACCACAAGTATACAGTAGTGATGATAGCAACAAACCAAATATTTGATTTTCTGAAATGATTTATTAATTAATTAATAGTATTTGCTCCCATTCGATGTTTTTGGAAAAGCGCAGTGGTGGTGGTGCTGCATCTGTTCCGCCAGCAGCCTCCAGCTGGCTCCAAACATTTCACTTCTTCAAACAGTCCGGGGAAAGTTTTTTAAAAAAGGCACGAAGGCCTTCCTTATGTTAGAACAGCTGGGCTATGGCAAAGTGATTGTGTAGCTCATGCACCACGCCTTTATCATTTTGGATGTAAGAAATTCAACGGCCCTACTCCACATTATTCTAAAAATCCCCAAAATGTTAAGTGTAGCTAAAAATGGGCCGAATCTCCTTCCCATTGAAATCAATCACCTTCACATAGAGACGGTCATGACGTACTGAACCTCTGACGCTCCGACGAAGGATGTTGATGTGGTCTACCTGGGTTGTAGTAGTGGACCTACAGTCTCTCAAACCTCTGAAGATCCATCGTGATCTCCAAAACCTGTTCGTAAAAATGTGTACAAAATATTTGACATAGAGATTCATAACAATACATACTAACTGGCGGTGGTTAACCACGCCCCTTGAGTGAGCGTCTCTCCGCCATGTTGGATTTTTTGAGGGGGTTAGGGTTAGTATTCTATTCTTACAAGTTAACATTGATTTCTCGTTAGAAATGCAATCATAACACTTATATTTTACATTGTTAGACTTCACAAAGTGTGTTTACGAGGTGCAGGTCCCCATTCACTTTGAACAGGGTGATGTCATCAGTTGCCAGTCCGTATTTATTTCGTATGTATCACTACGAATTTGTATCTTCAAGATTTTCGTATACATTTTTACGAACAAGTTTTGGAGACCAGGCTGGAAGATCGTACTGGGTCATCAAAGGTCCTAATATGCTGGTAGCTTAAATGACAGTCAGACGGATGTTGATGATCCTGCCAACACACCACAGATAACACTGGACTGTAAAAACGATTCATTCATATTTAAGTCCAAGCAGGGCCAGAAATTGTAATACTGTTGAGAGAAAAATCGTCAGAGCAGTGAATACATTGACACTAAATCACACATTGTGTGCCTTTCCTCCCCATAAAGTTGCTGCTGTGACTCTGTCTTCCGCAATAGAGTGCTGCTGCGAGGAACCGCTCCTACGACCAGGAAGTGGGTGAGATTATCCTGAATCAAAGGTTGCATTGGCTCGTACTTCCAGGACCACAAGTGCATCATCGCTGTATCCCTGTTTGTCAACCTTTTAGTCCGTCCACTGCTGCGGCACAGACTCAACAAACGTGCTGTTGTGTATTGCCATGCAATTGTGTAAAGATTTTATGACTTTGAATGACTTTGGTGCCCTTCTCCTTTCCTCTGGGGCCAAATTATTGACATTGTTTTGCCAAACAACTATAAGATGGATTGCATTGAAAGTTAAAGCAGATATCCAAAGAACTGCAATAAAAGTGGTGATTCACAAACTTTTGATCCAACAAAATCATAAATCAAAGATGTCAGTTTGTTTGATTCAATAAGTTCCCCAAGAGATAAACAAGAGCAAAGCTGTGTGCGAAGACAGGAACAAAAACAAATATCACAAGGCACAAGTTTAGACAGAAAGAGAGAGAAAGCTGTGATTATGACTACTACACCAAGAGAGCTCTCCAATCTCTCACGTTCAGCACCAGCAAAATCAACAAGGTATCCCACTGCTACTTTGCTATTTTGCCAATGTGAGCTTTCTGATTTTGTAAATTGAATTAAGATTTAGATTGATACTCAACTGAGGAGGATATGTGATTACAAATGACTTGGATCCTCTTCTTCACAGACCTGCTCTAAAGCGGGAAAAGATCCAGCTGGAATCAGTTAGAGAGAAGAGGGGGTGGGAAGGGGGCTTAGTTGAATATCTCAGCTCCCTCAACTTGACTTTAGTTATTTACTTTAATTATTTTTGTAGAATCTGTGTGGTGGTGAAGCATATTCAATTGATGACATATGAGCTTCAGCTTATTTTTAAACAAGGTGGTACGAGAACAACATCAGGATAATTTAGATTTAGTACATTTTCCTCAGACTTTTCTTTAATAATTATTCACATCTCATCTCATCAGTTACTGCTAGAAAACAACAACCTTAACTGAAGCATATATATTATTATAGGCAACACGTCCCTTCTCCTCTGTCTCTCTCTCTTCCTGCCTCTCTTTTATTTCCCTATCGTCCCTTTTAAAATCTGTTAAATTCATTCATCATTACCTTCGCGAATGAAAATAAAGTCACATTCAAAGCGATAAATGCCATAATCAAGAGTTGAGACAATGGGGAGCAGGCATTAAACTCCAAATCCATCTAAGTGAGTGCAATCATTTATCTGTTGCTCACATGCTGGAGGGGTTGTCAAGCCGTTGGATAACAACTGCAACAAACACATTTTTCAAAAAGGTCACAGTGAGAGCCGCTCAGAGTGCTGAAAGTGTCTCATTTGACCCTGATGATGTCAAGAGTGTATCGGCTTCTTCAAATGCCATTTCAGCTCCTTGACGGTTAGTGTGGTCACGCCAACCGAATGCGTCACTAACAGCGACACAATAATCCATACTGAAATTGTAAACCTGAGGTAATTAATGTTAATGAAGTCAAGAGATACTCCAAATATAATGTTAGTTATTACAATTCTTAGTGAGGAGCTCACATTAAGTCATGCAGCTTAAGTTCTCCCCCCGACACTAATGAACACCCCTGACCACTGTGCAGCGCATAGACGTTGCGGTAATGTTTGTCTTTGACTTTGTTGTCACGTCCAAAGCTCATGGACAGTGTTGCAAATAAAGAAGATCAAACGTTAAATAAATACTCGGTTCATCTCAGCCTACCAGTCAAGACATTTTTTCTTTAAATGCGTACGTGCTTCTAACACAGGATGCAAGTCGTCTGTCATCACAGTTGAACCGAACAGTGAAGGTCAGTATCGGTCAACAACCGCAATTCTCCTCAGAAATCATTACAGTCCGACAGTCCTTTTTTTTTTCCTGTGTGTACTCAAAGGGCATTACTTCACAGCTTTCATGGTTCACTCTACCGTTAGCAGCTGCACTCTAAGATGAAAACAGGAGAACCTGCAGTAATTATCCTTGCATATTAGTCACTAGAAAATGTCAAGTTAAATCTTAATAGTTAGGGTTTTTTATTTTGTTACATGCTCAACATGCTTAACACAGGGCCAGCATGTAACGCAAAATAGTAAATGCATAAATAATTTCTCAACTGATAGTTAAATAATCAAAACAAAAATAATATAAATATGATTTCAGCCAAAATGCATGTATGTGGAGACTGACTTTCCCAAAAGCTAGATGTCATGTAAACTTAGATCTAGCTCAGACTTCTCATGAAGCCAACAATAAGGTAAAGTCTTTTACATGACTTCTTCTGGGAAAACCGAATAGTTTAGTTTGTGCTCTCTTTGACTTTTGACTGAGGTATTTCCATATGATGCTGCCTTGTCTCTCTAAGCACATATTGTATCCTGCAGAGAATTAAAACTGCTGGTTGATAGTAGAGTCAGACTCAAGGAAAGAAATCATTGGCATAAGAAGCTTTTAATAATTTAAGAAAGCTATTGTGATTGAGTTTATTAAAAGTATCCGCAAATGCTTGACTGGCAGTCGGTGTCACCACTATTTGAATCCTTCCTCCTCAACCTCTGAGGCTATTTTTAGAGATGCCTGTCACTGAGCTCCATACAGCGGTGTCGAGGGAAAACACCCACTGGAGACTGAAGCGGGACGAGAAGGGGCAGACATGAGAAAGTCTCTCCTCAGAGACAATGTGTTTCCTGCTGCAAGCATCTCCTTCCATGTGCAATTGACTGCCGCACAGTTACCCTTTTTTTGATCGAAACCTTTGGTGTTCCATACAACGGAATCAATGAATTAGTGTGTACCATTATAAATCAGTGATGAATAGCACTGTTTGGATGCGTGTCGCGTCAGATGTGGTATTAAAAGACAAGCCCGAGATTGACAGCTTCGAGAGAGCCGAAGGAATGACACTGGGGGCAGGCTTGCCGGCATTCTACAGATTTACCCCGATCACATATATAATCAAAAATATAGAGCTGCCCTCCAGCAACAGTGATAAAATAGAGAGAAAAAACAACATAAAAAAAAATTGCAGTAGATAGAGTGGTAAGAATATAGAAGACTACAAAATAATTCAGATACAACTCTTTTTTTTGTAAGAAATAACCATTTAACATGTTTACGCCGTATATGTGTGTCCATTTAAATGTAAAGAAAATGCTTCTACTGAGTCCTTAGGATAAGAGTTACAAATTGACTCTATCTCAGCTATTTGCTTACCTCATTAAGGACGACCAATTGGTCGATATCTTGTTTGTTACCCATAATGGCCATGAACTGTACAGGGTTCAGATTGTTAAGATTGTTTTTACACTTTAACTAAGAATTTATACTTACTCGAACATCCAAATTTATTGAGGTACACTTTTTACTTATATATACATCTATATATTAGGGCTGTTAAGATGAACTAATTAATCGCACATTCTGAAATTCATTAATCGCAATGCACAAACTTATGAGGATATTTGTGAATGAGACCAAATGCCTTCGTTGTTTATTTTAAATGAAATGCAGGACCAAAACAACCAAAACATCTATTGCTGTATCAATTATTTCAGTTTGGGCCAAATTCTCCTCATTCTCACTCCGCAAATGCCCCTGTGAGCTGCTGCAGGGGTTGCACACATCCACATGATTATATCTGGAAGCTGTAAAGTCCACATACAGTACAGGTCATTAGTTTAAGCCTGGAAAAACTTCCAGTAAACACCATTACTCAAACTGCACGCCAGTCCTGGGAATAAGAGACGCTGCAAACCAAATATCACGTCGTGTACGGGTTCATCTGTACACATACAGGAAACACTTGTATTCATGTGGCACTTTAAAGTGTCTCATAACTTTAATTTATTGGAGATCTTTTGTAAATTGTTGTCAAACATACATGTCATGAGAAGTCAAGTAGAGGAGCAGTGTAGCATGCATCACCTTCCCATTGCAAGCATATAATTACAGTTAATATTTGAATAAAAATTATGTACAGAATATGATAATAATAATAATACAATTTTTATTTTCATAAAATTTCAAATACGTGGATATTGGCATAGCCACATTATATAGCAAGTAAATTGTCTCTTATCTTAGCACACATTCCAATCAGTGGCAGGATTTAAGATTAAGAGCTCACCGATCAGTTTTAACACTGCAATGAACACTGACTTGTTATCTTCAAGATATGCAGAAAATTTCGATCATCAAAGTACATACACACAATAAATAGCATTTTGCAACTTGTATGTGTGTGGTATACACAGATGGTTACTTATGTGACAGATACAATGATTTTACATTTTTATTTTCTCCATGAAGCAGGTCATTGTTACAGACATTTTTTGTTTTACATTCAGTGATTTGGAGAACGGGACTCCACAAACAACTCACATATAGAGCCGGCGCGCCTTTTCAAGAAGACACGGTCAGTTTTCAGTCACTCAGCTCCATAACTTTAAAAAGCAGAAGGCAGTTTCCCCCTGTGGCGAGTTTTCCTTAACAGGATGAGGTATTTGCCAGAAGAGATTATTTTATTTGTCGCTCTTCTCTCTCAGTCTTATCTGACAAGTGAGGCTGCAGCTTAGCAATGCAAGATCTTAATGAATGCCTTCCTGAACTCGACATTAAAGGTGGTATAAATGATGGGATTTATGGCACTATTCACGTAGCCCAGCCAAGTGAAAGCGTTGTACACCTCAGCGGGAACCTTGCATTTTGTGCAGTGGGTGTTCAAGATGTGCGTAATGAAAAACGGCAGCCAGCATATGATGAACACTCCTGAGGAGGTACAAGAACACAGGGGAATATTAAATAGAGACACACAGGAGAGTGACAAAACAGGCTCTCATACGGACAGACTCTAGAATACAAGTAAAAGAACATGTTTGTTGCATTGCTACATTTCCTGTTTCCAAGCTCCATTTTAGGTCTTTCCAAAATAAATGAACATGGAAATAACAACGCAAAATGCATGTAATTTAAGTATAATATTAGCGATTGTAAATATACAATATCAAAGGTGAAACGCATAATCAGTACAGAAAGAAGTAAACCAACTCACCAAGGACAATGGCTAACATCTGAGTGGCTTTCTTCTCCTTCTGCTGGGAGATCTTTCTCTTGCTCATGGTCTTCACTGAGGTCTGAATCTTGCCATTGGGTAAGGCCTGGGTCTGGAAGGACTTGGCAAGAGCGGGTGCTGGATCCCCGGGGGTCTCCTGGGTAGGATCTCCATTCTTCTCGGCGTTCTGGTCTTCCTCCGGGGGAGTGGGCGGTGTGGAGGTGGGGCTTGCGTTGGCTTTGTTGGGCACCAGTTGCTGGTGGCTGGTGGCCGGAGTGTCTCCCAGGACACAACGTGGCTGCTGCTTCTGCTTCTGTTTCTGGCTTCTGCCGCTGTTGTTCAGCTCATCCAGCTCCAGATCGCCCCCCTCATTAACTACGTCTTTGATGAATATCTATGCAGCATCGGGAGGAACACAAAAACAGGGATTCAGTTGGTCAGTTCTTTGTCTAATTAACATGTAATAAATTGTCACACTTTCTGCGTTCGCAGTGTTTAGACCAACGAAACGGTGCCTTTTAAAATGATGTGCTCTCTTGACAAATCAAGGGAAACTTTAAGGCGACGCATTGATTAACCTTACGGTCAGCACAAAAATGTTTCCAACAATTAAGAGTGTACACAAAATGACAAAAAAAAGGAGAACGCACCACTTTCTTCTTGTTGACAGGAAAACTCCCATTAGATTTAACAATCATGGTGCACAACCTCACATCTTCTGGATGAGTGCACTTATCCTGAAAAGAAAACAGCAGTGTCAGACAGGGAGAGGTAACAAAGCACAACTGACAAAAAGGCTTACTAAGCATAGATCCCACAGCCTACTGGGTCAAGGAAGGCTATATCGAGCTTTGGTAAAGAACTGCAGTTTAGCAAGAATCGGATCTGAAGCTTCAACTGCAGCTGTCTGCAAGTCCCTTTGCTCGACATCTCACCAAGATGGTGCAAACGCATTGAACAATTGACAGTGTAAGTGGAATTTTATTTTGAATTACATTATTCGAATCAGCAAAGATTATGTACATAATCAGTCAATATGCTGCCGTATCACCACTTTACAGATTGCATTTTTATAGTAATGTGTATTTTGTATTCCCTTTAAACCCCAGTGTTGGTTTTAAATGTACTCCCTGATCTCATTGTATAACAATCACGCACACATCACATGGTGAAGTCATGCATGGATATGAGTAATGCAGTGCACTGGTTGAAAATGATTACTTGGCATCATATGGAGACCCATTTCAGCTGCATTATTTCACTAAAATCCATATTCATGTTGTGTGACGGCTTTCAACACTGAAAACGTGACTACAAAAGGTATCCTGGATGGAACCATTTAAAGAATACCCCATTTGCATACATGGGGAAAGAAAAACACTTAAAATGCCAAAGGTGTAGTGAAGGCTACGAATTTCTTTAGGCACACACAGAGCTCCCCACTGGACTCCATGGGTTGTACTATCGCAGCTGGTACATCAGTACGTGCTTAACCGCTGCTGAGACATAGTGCACCCTCTTCGGCGATTCGTAGAGAAGCTGCAAGCCCCCCTTGGTATAGAGCTGTGCCTGTGCTTGCAGAACTATGATTATTCGTAAGGTCTTCTTATTTACTCCTGCAGAGCAGAGTGCTCGAGAGTTTGAAGCACGGCTTCGAGCAGCATCAGCGGGTGCCACTGCACGGGAGAAATACCCGGTGTTGCACCCTGACCCTTTGAAAAACATGGTTTACCACAAAGACAGGTCTCTTGCCCTCTGCAAAACCCTCTGCCTTGAGGGTTTAGTTGCAGTGGCATGTGGCAACTCTCTTTTCACCCCCATCGGACAAAGAGGAGGAATAGGCCCCACTGCATAGAACAGGGGATCTATTATCTTTATACATCCAGGGTTGGAACCATGGCCAATGTTTCTTATAACAGGCAACCTGGACGGTATAAACAACGCAGGTGGACAGGTCAGTCCTCTTCAGTCTGTTCCGGAAGTTGCTTGTGCTTCTTTGCCACCATGCAAAGGCTGGCAAATAACCTCTGCAGGTGCAGGTGCACAGGATCTCAAGATTAGATCTAGTTGCAAAGATCCAACAGAGGCCTGAAATCTCCTGTTTTCTAGAGATCCAGGGAGTAGGTTGTATAGCGCCTGCTGTTTCTTGTGTATACGTGCAATGGACACTGCTTGTTTCTGTTTCTTGAATCTCGGCTGAGAGGTAATCCATCTCCTTATCAGGGGATAGATTGTCAATGCCCTGTATATCCATTTCAGAGAGAGTGAGAGGCAGAGCTATGGTGAAGCTGGAGACCCTGTGGTGACCTGAACAATTTGTGTAAATACTACAAGCCGTTTTTTTTCAACCCACAAGACTCTTGAAGCAGGAATTCCTTCTTTGGAGGTTCTCAGTCAATGTGCGAATCAGTTTGCAACCTCCGGGTTCTGATAATTGAAGCTTTCTACCTTAAACTTGTTATTTATCAATTGGCCAGCAAGTGGCAGCTGCTGTGGTTACAAAAATAAGTCTGATTGTATGGAGGTCCTTATATGGCCGCACTCATGATGTTGATTCAGTAAATAATGCATTGAGTATGCTTTAGAGCGGGCCGCCTTTTGATTGACGGGTCGCTACCGTTTATAAAATGGTGTATTGTATCCTCTATGTCACAATTCCTAGGCCAACTGTGGTTAATTATGTCCACAAGTTGGACAAACATGGCGAAAGCCGTAAAGCAAGATGGGGAAACCGAAATGCAGAACTCTGGTCTTTGTAATGGCGGTCCACAAACCGATGCGTGTCATCATGAGGACTACATCCACATTTTGTAAACGTGGTTCATGGACGCGTTTGAGTTAGAACTGAGTCTTGCCCTTTCAATCTTTTTCGTAGGAAAAAACCCTTGTTTGGGTTTTACCATTCATGTTATGTTATGTAATAAAATGACAATCCATAAAACGAACAAGTGTAATTAAGTTGACTAGATTATTGATTACAGTTTCATACTAACTGTAAAGGACATCTTTAAAATGCTCAGACAGTACAGAAAAATCAAGTTTCTCTAGAATAATAAAGGCACAAATGAATCTTGAGATTGTAATAGCACTGTGTTTTTATTACAATGCAACTATATTACATACTCACTTTCAGCGAAGTGGCCACATCAGGCTCGGCAGCCTGACGGACGCGCTGCTTCGGTTTAGTGTTGACACGTTTCCTGCGCTTCCTCAATACCACATAAATTTGCACATAAACCAGCAGAGTGATGATGAAGGGAACATAAAAGGACACTATGGAAGAGTATACCACAAAGGCTGGATTGGCGATCACACAGAGAGACTCATCCCGGGTCGCTGTTGAGATAAGCAGAGGATGAATAGGGAAAACCCCAATTAACATTTTCCTTTCTAAGTTTTGTCTCCCCCTCATTTGCAGCTTACAACCAAGGCTTGTTTTTTTACTTTAACCTCTTAGAAACTTTTTTTATTCCCACCGACTTCACCGGGAACGGCCTTATATCTGATGGAGGAGGCCACCACGGGGCTTACATCTAATGCCAAATGTACAGCTGATATCTCACAAATCTGGGCTAATTTTAGATTCTACAGATTTAATTTACCAGACAATCGTTTCAGCTCCCTTCCCCAGTAAATTGTATTCCCTCAGAGACAGCTCAATTGGCAGCTTGATTTGGCAAAAGTTGTCACTACTCAAACTTGGTTAAGAGCAGTTGTCATAGATACTATAGATTTTACAGTAATTGTCTAATTCAGATTTACAACCAATATCTTCACACGTCACAATGGTTGTGCTTATGAGACAGAACGGGTTGCCTATTAAAGTTAATGCCCATTTTTACATTAAAATTGTGTTGTGTAAACTTGGGTATTAAGTAAAATGTGGGCTCCGGTTTTGTCACCGCTTGAGCCCTCAACTTTGAAGTTACATGGTTAATGACTCAAATGCCCCTTTGAATCAATGTCCAAATGTTTACATTTGCAAAACTGAAAGCAGCCAAGTACACAAACACGTGACCGAGTTTTGGTTTCTGGAAGCTTACAGTGGTGAGATCAGCACCCAATCTAAGTCTAAAAGCGGGTGTAGGACTCACAAATCCAACTGTCTGAGTTCTGGTAGAAATAAATGTTACATTAAGGCACTCAAAGGGATGAGTGGCTTCAAAGAGAAAGGAATTGAACCACAGGCGCCAGTCAGCAACAAGACTAAGAAGCCCTTAATCTGCTTTACCTGTAATCCTCCTCTAAAACCCATGCGTGTGTTTTGTGTAATAAGCAACGTAAAGGGCTGCGGCTCGCTTGTATCATCAGGTAATCGTTTACTGGTATGGGTATCTGACACTTTTACAGCACAATGCATTGTACAGTGTGCAATGCTGTAAATAGGGATTGCAATTTTGCAAACATGGGGCAAACATTCAAAAGATACATCAGCCATCTTTACAATGTGTCTACAATGCAGACGCTTGTACTATACTGTGCAGTGGATGCCACCATGAATGATGCAGGATGGCCCCGCTATTGCTCCACCAATGTAGTCAAACATCATGAAAAGAGCATTTATTGTTTGAATCGTATCATTTCTTACCTGTGTTATTTAGGCCAAACAATAAGGGGCATGATATGGCGAAAGACAGCACCCACACCACAGAGATCATTACTGTCACCCGTCTCCTGGAACTGTAGCGAGTGTTGTACAGCATTGGCATTGCAACTGCTGTGTAACTAAGAGGTGAAGAGAGAAAATAGCCACTTCATTACAAATGTCAAAAAAAGATGACATGAAAACAAAAACTTTTTACCTAGAGAGAATGAAAGCTGTTTTCACGGTTTCAATGTATTCATGAAGGATAAAATGAATGTACCACCTTTCTCTTACAAGTTCTCTTTTTTCATCAATGAAGTGGTAAAAGCGAGAGATCTTGCTTGTCATCTTTGATCATCATCATTTGATGTTGGCAGGCGCTTTGGAAACAGCTACAGTATGTGCTTTTCAGAGACTGTTTTGTTTGAGTGTCTTTATGGAAACACATACAAGGAATAAGAATACAAGCAGTTGTATTATGTTTGTCGCCGAGGATTATGCATCACAATGTACCAGTGTCCTGGGGAAAATAGACCTTGGGTATGAATAAACCTCATCTGTATATCCAAAGGTTTTAATCTGTGCCGTTGCTGGGCCAAAAGAAAAGTGTATTTCAAGAACGTGACTGACTGAATATCTACCTACACGCATTTAAAAGAATAATTCATACACAACGGTGTCTATAAAGTCAGCTTTGTAAGTAATCCACATATTTTTAAGGGCTAAAGAATAAACACAATGTGCATTTTTTCAAGAAACTTCCGAGGGAACTTCATGTAATTAAAGGTATCAGTCCTTCCATCTCATATGCTTGAAGCACAGTTGCCACAAATAGCAGCATGAATAATATGTCAATTTCAGCTACAGTTCTTAATAAAAGGGATGTGAAATTGTGCATGACACATCAAGTGTTGGTGCGGTGCAGCTGTTAATCGATCATCCAAATTAACTGCAGGGTTGCAGCACATAAAGTACATAAACCTGTAATTAGCACAATCATAAAAGCAGCATCTTGTCTCAAATGAAATCTTGTGACACGCTACCAAGCTCAGTCAAAACAAGTCTACAGATGCCAATGCTTTCAGCATACCAAATGAGAGGAATTTCGTGGATAGATTAACAGGTTTTACAGATCCAATTATTAGAGATGTAGGAGACACTAGATATTTTTTCAGGCTCATAATCATATTTTATGTCACATGAAGAGGATATTATGGACAATTATGAATGTCTGCAACAGTTTAAAAAGCCTGTCATTTTTTGTCATGAAATCATAAGAATATGTATTTTCCATATTCATGTCACTAAAGTTGAGGCCTGACTCTTCTGTAATGCTTGATAAATACGTGTCTTTTGTGGACTCATTAAAAGTGTCCTCGGAGTAAAGTGTCAATTTAAAAGAAATGCGCCTTTTGGCAACATAATTTCAGCTCTGTTCAATCACATTTAGCAAGTGTTTATTCATGTCACCTCCTACACAAAAGCAGTTTTTTCTATAGTCTTCTGCTTTCAAGAGTATGTGAGTAGATCAAACAAAGCTGTTTTCTAACAATGCTGTTTTCTGTCTTGTCTATCAATAAGATGTTGACACATTCACACTGGTGAGAAGAACAAAGTACAATACTTTGATTTGTACACAGGAAAATACATTGGTCGGAAATGGACTTGGGCCAGGAAAAGGGACTCCTGCTACTGTCTTCATCATCCCTCAACCGTATTCACAAGAACGCAGCAAATATGCACAAGTCAGATGAATTAATATTCCACTCAGCCCGTAACATTCATTTCAAAAACACGCAAACAATGATCTACCATGAGATTGTTCAGAGTAGCTCCTGATGAGCTACTCTCCACATATGAGACATTTGTATTCTGGAGTAATTCATTCACCTCAGAAACAGTTGAAATTGTGTGCATGTGTGATGACGCTGAGTTTCTATGTTGCATAAAATGAGATGTTCTTTTCTTCATGAATCTAAGATAAATAGTGAATGAAACAAAGACGTACTGTCAGTCTCAAGTTTCAAAGGAAATGTTGTGGTTGTCAACACTACATGATTACTTCCCGTAGTTCTTAAGCATAAGCTTAGCTTTTCATTCAATTCAGCAATTTTTGATCCACTTTAATTTCCGTTATTCATGACTTGAGTGATCAGTGACCTTTTTGGACAAGCATTAATGAGATGAGGATGAGGACGTGTTGTTGTGAACCGCAACCCATTTAAATAGAACTGGTTCTAAGATTTTCGACCTACTGTATTCCTTCTAGAAATAATATTTTTATATGAACACCAATCAAACGTGTAGATGCAAGGGGTCACTCGTAGTAACACACTCAGAGAATGACAACTTAGCTCAGCAGTTACCGATTTACGCTCACTGAATTGTTTCCAGCCGCGGGAGAAAAGCTTTAACAATCCACTTTAAAATGCTTGCTCTGAACCCAGCAGCAGACAGCCACGGTTAGTGATTTGTTGGTGAATACATTCGAGCATTTAAAAGCTAGAGGCAGAAAATGTATCTTGACGTGAAGAAGCACAAGCAACTTTTCCATGTTTTGATGAGATAAAGGACACGTTAGGGCATCAACTGTTCAATACAAACAAATACTTGCGTGTAGTGCGTGTATAAGTAGTGCGTGTAGATGGACAGTGATCTCCCAGATGGATTGTCACAGAATGATGGTTCTACGAAACTGCATTAAGTAATGCATTTACCAGTAAATTTATATATACATATACATATATTTTGGATGCCCACTTCTTTCCTACTGTTTCCACTCCTCTATTGTATTGTTTGTGTTAAACACAATATTGGCCTATGCACACTTTTATAATATTACATTAGAATAAATATTATTATATATATGATATTATATTGTAAGAAATATTTTATTTAAATATCTTACTAAATTTTTAGAATTTCAGTAAAAACAAAAGAACTGTCCATGCAAGTGTTAGCTACCTTTCTCCATTTTTCTGTCCCCACCATTTCTTTTCTGTTTAGGTCCATGTGAGCTTTCCCAGCAGCAGTCTTAGAACCGCCCTCAAATACTGTCACTGTTACCCTACTCAGAGCCAATGAGTGCATTAACACATAATAACAAATATATATGTATTGGTATTCATTCATATTATTTATTTAGAACTGAAATAACGCTGCTGTGAATGGTGTGACATAAACGTTTTTAGTTTAGTATATAGACACGGGAACATTGACGGTGATGCTTTTAAAGAATCCCTTAGAAAATGTATGAAGAAAGCATGAAAGGCAGCCCTTAGCAATCAATGCAGTGGCAAACTCACCGATCAATGCTGATTGCACAGAGATTGAGGATGCTGGCTGTACACATCATCACATCCAAAGTGACAAAAATGTCACAGTGAATCTTGCTAAAGCGCCACTCTCCCACTACCTAGAGGAGAAAAGCATCAACAAATGGCAATTAACAGCAACAATCAAAAAACAAAAACATTGCACATTGGCAGAAACAATTGTATATTATTTCTTTAACAAAAAGCAATCCCGTCAGTAAAACCTCTTTGCCTTTTATTTTCTTCAAATTATTTCAACAAAATTACAGCAAGAAAAAACATAAATGTAAAAAAACAAATCTACTGCCCAAATGGCAAAACCTTTTTTGTATTCAAAATGCAATTGCTCTCTAATCGATAGTCAAACCACAAGAAGAAACCACTATCATCGTTGATGCTGCGCTGTACGATGCCACCCACATTGCGTGTCCCTATATACCGGCTTCCTCCCACGGTTTTGATGAGAGATATTGATCTACGTCTTCAGGACACGTTTTTGCAAAACCAAACGACCGCTTAATGTTGTTGCCTGGGACCACAGCACTTGCAGTGATGGCGTGTCATCTGACAAACTAATGAGCATCCTTCTCCTTGTCACAACGTCTCCTCTCTTCTCTTCTTTTCTTTTTCTAACCTTTATATTTATGTTTTGTTTGTCTATGTTTGTCAACCATATCCTCGGGTTCTCTCCCTCTCAACCACCACTTCATTGTTTGTCTTTACAGGTGATTATAATCCACAGGTGGCTCCTCTCCCCCAAATCAGTGCTGTAGCCGCCAACCAATTAAAGAGACTGACGGTGCCTGAAATCCATTACGAACCCTTATGGCTGCCACACAGATCTATTCCCATCAGTGGCAGGAAACATGCTCTGTGGATATTAATGTTTGTCTCAGGCGATGAAATCAAAACGAAAACATTCTAAAAGATAAAAACTATTTGGACGCTTTGACAGCAGGACTTTTGAAAGTGCAATTATAGCTTAACACTGTGCACGGCTATGATCATTTAGAATGGATGAACATTCTTAAAAATGCAATTTGAGATGCCACTTATAATCAGCGTGAAAAGAAACTAACGTTTTCTGCTCTTTCATTTAAAAATAGGCTGCCTTCATTTATTAAAAAAACAATAAACTTTTGAATTGAATCGGATATTTTTCGGACAATACATGAAAATGACATTTCTTCATGGGGAGCAACGTCACATTCTCAAGTCTGCCCAAAGGTTATTATTTTTAAAATTAATTCATTTTTATTTTTTCTGAATCCTCAAATAATGCATAAAGTTCTCTCTATATGCTCGAATCAGTTACAGTTGACAGAAAGCAAGAACTGTGGCAATTAATGCTAATTCAGCATTTAATAATAAAGGGCAAGTGTGAATGCTCTACCCACACTCTGTGACTAACCTCTCGCTTCAGCTCATGCTGATACATTTATTAACACAAAAAACGCCGTCACGGCCATGGTTACTGACACTAAAATGCCATAAATGAAAAAGGAGTCTTTTTTTGACGTGGGATTGGAGGTGAAGTGTTTTTTGTTATTATCCAAAGATGCTTGATTTTTGGCCATTTCTCTGATGGGAGACTCCAGAAACACATAAAATGAGCAACTAAAAACCTCCAAAAAAAGGTAAAAAGCAGTCCAGAGACAACATGTACCAGCTCCTTCCCTTTCACAACGCAATGATTCATATCAAAGACTAGCTCCTCTGAACATATTCAAATACCAGCATTTTAAATCCTACCAAATATTTGCATATTTTGAAGCAGTTATACAAGTTTCTGTTTATGTTACTTTACATTAGCATTAGATGCTTGACCCGCCAACATCAGTTGCACATCCCACTCCAAACACATGCTGGATGATACATTTTTTATTTAACATAACGCCGGTATTTAGCTCTCAGCAATTAATTTGAGTAGTATTACACCAAAATTGGTCATTTTTGTGTGCTCTTTGTTGACACAGGAAAACGTTAGCCCCCCCGCCCACCCACTCATACAGTGTTCAGAAGAACAGGATGGAACTCTAATCAATACTACTGTAAGCCTGAAATAAATAATAATCATAGCACCTTCTGTTCTAGATATGGATTACCATTTTTCACATAAATAATTAATGATACAATAGTACTCTAAATGTGTCTACAATCAGCTCATTAAATAAATGTTAACACAAGTAGCAACATTTGTCAAGTGTAGATCAACCTTAGTGTCCAGTTTAAATGAGCTCAAAGGAAAGAGCACACAAGAAACACCAACTCGCTCAAAGTTCAATGACAAATTAGTCTGAGGATTCATTCTTTTTTTTTTGGAGGGCAATAGGCAAATTTTTATACATTGTTTCTTTATCATTAGGAGTACTACTCAGCCTATGAAAACAATTAAATATGCTATTTGTGGTTCTGGTGGGAGTTGAGAGAATTATCCTGACATTGTTATTAAGGTGTGATGGTTATCTCGCCTTGGGGTGCAGACCAAAAATGTATTACGAAGGTGTTCGTAGTGGGTTTTTCTAAAGAAAAAAAAGAAACTGAAAAGAAAAAGTTATCCTCCACACCAGCCCTCAGGCATCTCAGTCAATTTGCACCCACTAAAATGAAGGTTATCTCCGGTAAGATCTCCTTTGAGAAAGGCCCAACTGGTCAGAATAAAGAAAAGAGAATCAGCTGAAAGAGCTGAGCAAAAAATACATTTCTAAATACAATTAGAAACTGAGAAATGCAAGGCATTCCTTCTTCTCTGACATCACAAGCAAAAACAGTAACAAGACAGGCATATTATTTGCTACCGTTGACGGGCTAAAAATTCCTCCAGTGTAAGTGGCTGCAGAGCTCCAATTGCAATACATCTTCTCTCGTCTTCCCTTATTAAACCGCTCTTAAAAAAGACTCATTTAAACTACGTAACAATTAAAAATGATAGAACAAAAGCAAACCTCACCTATATAATTAAAGTAATTTAAAAAAAGTTTTTTTTCCTCAGCTAAACGACTTTTTGGCCATAAACAACTGTTTTATGTCTTCCAGGCAGGATTTCGAGGGCACTACAGCGGTTCACACTCTCCTGTTCAACATCTACAGTAGCAGTCAAAAGCTTGGACACATGTCCTCATTCAATTCAATGAAATATGTTTCCACTAATTAAGATTATGAAATGAAACAAAGTATGCTATCATAACTAAGTAGGCAGAAAAATCTGACAATATGGCCTGGGGACTATACTCCCACCCAAGGGCTTGATAACTGCATGAAAAAAATAAAAAAAATAAAATTCTTTTCAATTAAACAAAGATAACAGAAGGAACTGTTTTTGGGGCCAAGGACGCATGATAAAAGTCAGCGCTCGGCTTCAATCACTGATGTTAAAAACTACAAGACAGGCCAGAGAACTTGTTGTATTTATAGATTCAGAACTCAATCTGAACAGCCATAGAACAACATTACAAAATCAGTCTATTATCCCCTGAAGAATATATCAAGGATTCAGGAATTTATGTCAACAGAATTTAGAAACACTTTTCCATGCATTCGTCTTCAGTAGACTGGACTATTGTAACGTTGTGGTCACAAATCTCGAATCCTCACTAAGAACAAGTAAGTGGATCCCATCACGGTTGTTCTGAGGTCCTTACGCTGGCTTCCTGTCTAACAAAGAATTTACTTTAAACTTTTAACTAAACTGTTAACACACACAAACAGCATTACTATCCCGATAACATTATGATACATTGCTACTCACCACTGTGCTGTATGTACAAATGCACATAAAGAACATGCAGACTAGTAGACACCCTATGAATTAAAACACTGTACTGATGTGATGAGAAACATAATCGTCTTGACTCACTGAGAGCCACAGGGGGATTAGAGTCCCTGTTGTCTGTGTTTGCCTTTCTCTACATCAGACAGCGTGACCTACAGTCTGAGGGTCAGAAATAATACCCGGGGTGAGAACATAGACAGAAGACATGAGCAATGATCAGGAGATAGAGAGACTAGTCTTAAAGCCAGCCCGCATCCTGCTTGCTATTGATTCAGTAGATTGGAGTTTTTTTTTTTACAAACCTGAGTCTCTGTTCTGTTTTAGGTTTCACTGGTTAGCAGGCATTGATGTGCCACAACTGTTTTAAGGAACAAAACAAAGCAGATCTACATCATCCCAGCTGTGAATAGAAAAGGATATATCCCTGAATTAGGACAAATTATTCATAGACATCTGACCTCTGCCTTAATACACTAGTCTGACATTATGATGTTGTCAGTGTTGCTACATTACATGCCTTTAACCACCGCAGGTCTGATATTTACAATGCTGATGTGAACATATCAGCCGTCACCCTTGTTTCACCTTAAGCCTTTGACCTGCTTGACAACTGCAGATGGCTTGCATGGCTAAGAAAACCTTTTCACCAGCAGCAGATTCCCTGTAAATGCATGTTTTGCCACATTATGTTTTCCTATTTTTGGTATACTGGTGATACTATGAAAAACAGACTTATTTTATAGATGTTGTACTGCAAGTTGCAAATCCATTCATACTGTTTTTAATTACAAAAGATAACAGAAGAAGAGACAATCTGTACTTCAACAGATAGGGTGAGCATGTCAGCAGAGCATATTAAGTTATGAATCTACCATTAGTAAGCAGTGTATGCATGTAAATGTTGTGTATTCTACCTCTAAGTAGACGACCCAGGGCATAACCAGTGTGGCCACCAGCAGGTCAGCAACAGCCAGGCTGACAATCAGGTAGTTGGTGGTGGTCTGCAGGGCCTTCTCTCTGGACACAGCGATGCACACAAGCACGTTGCCAAAGACAATGACGAAGATAAGCAGGGTAAGCAGCATGGCGTAGTAGTTGTAGAGGTGCTTCTGCTCTTGATCTGTTTTGTTGAAGCTCCATGTTTCATTGTCGTTGAAACTGTCATTGTAGGCATACTGGGTAAAGACATCCATTAGCTGTGAGTGACGAAGGCCAAGATCGGGCCCTACAGACACAAAGAGAGAAAACAGCATTTGAATAAAGTTGCATTCATGTGGGTGTTTGCAGTGACTGCAGAAAGTAAAAGGTCTTTGTCGAAATACTTTGCTTACATTTTGCATAAATCATCATGATCATAGACTACATACTTTCTCTGCTTGAATACATTAACAGTAATCACCATTGTTTCTCCACATCACTGATTTTGTTGGACACTGCGTCCTCTTGCTCTCCGAATTGCCACTTTTCTGTAAACCAGCGTTGCAAACTTAATAACGAAATACATAATCACATATAAAAACTATATTTAACAAACCCCTAAGAAGTGCATCTCTCTTATACTTGTCTAGATTAATACTCAAATTGTCCTCCACATCTAGCAATAGTATTCATGATGATTTAAGCAAAATGCTGACTGTTTATGTGATGAGGACCTTATCAGCAGTTTTTAAACGTTTCACCCTTGGTGCTCCCCAAGGAAGTAATAAAAAACAATGTAATTGGTAACAAGGATGAACGATCAAAAGTCAACTCTGAGCTTCAACTACTGATATTAAAAACCACAAACCAAGCCAGAAATCTATGTGCAATTATGGAATTGGACCTCAAATCCAACAGCCATATCAAGTTTAATTACAAAAGAGTTACAAAATCAGCCTCGACTAAATCTGGAAAAATATGCCAATGCATTTTTCTTCAGTAGACTCGACTACTGATAAGACCAGGAAAGGGGATCCCATCACTCCTGTTCTGAGGTCTTTACACTGGCTTCCTGTCAAACAAAGATAATCCTGCTTCCTCTTAATAAGAACATTAGTGCAGAAATAACATAAGGTGTGAAGGAACGGTACAAGTTATAGTTTTCTGCAGTTTTTGAGTTTTCAGTCTAAAATGCCATGTCTTCGCACAGAAGCTAACATTAATTTATTGCTTTGATTTCAGTGCACGTTAATTCTTTAGTCCAGATGATACCACCGTGCAGACCTTTGAGCCGTTTTCATGATGTTTTGTTAGATAGTAGTTAAACTTTGAAAGACACTAATTACAACTAATATCCCCGAAATATATATCAACAACACTGTTTGAATGAGAAATGTGTTGATCCACATGTATGATAGGGGAAGCGAAGTCCAGGACACTCCCTGGAATATGCTTCGTGATTACTGTCTTCTACCGACATTCAACCTGCTTTTGCCCACTTTAATCATCCTGCCACACCAAACTGAGAGTGAAAAGAAATAACATCATAAAATCACTACAATGGGGAAAGGAAATGTGGTCGTTCTTCATGAAAACACATTTTCTTGTCTTCAGCAGACAAATTAAGAGCATTAACTGAACATTTTCCGTTTTCTGTGCGGTATTGTTCATCAGCTTAGTAATAAAACAGTCTTTGAAAACAGAGGGACTCTTCACTGCCATGCAGGAAAGGAAGAATTAAAGAAAAAAATGCTTTTTAGTTTTCCAACTGTTTTCCAAGCCCTGGTGTTGCTGAGCAAGGTTTTCCTGTTTAAAAACATAATGTGTTTGGTCTTCAGGCAACGGGGGGCATACATCCAGGTTATGTTTTAGCAAATGTGACATGTGAAGCCTGGTTAGCCAGGTAGATGTCTGAAAACACGCCCTTCAGCTTCCTGTTACGACATTGAGTTTAATATGGAACTCATGAACTGAGTGTTGCAGCAATCTGAACTTTTTTTGTTCACCTTCATGTGGTTAACTGTTGACTTGTGAAGGTCAAATTCTATTGAAGATCCTTTTGTGCCCTTTCAAGCCTAAAATAAGCACAGAGTATACCTCTTTATATTCAGGGTCGTATAAAAACTCTGTCACAAGTCACAAGTCATTGAGTCACTGATTAGAATACCTTTAACTATCAAAAAGGTTTTCACATTTGTTGCAGCTTTCTCGTACCTTACTGCTTATAGCATAGACACAAAAAGAGGTTTCATAAGAGAAGAATGTACACAACTACATTTTGTTGACTATAACTGAAGACATAGTTTTATAGCCCAGACGGTTGAATTGAGGAAATTGAGAAAAGTTGCCAGATGAGGGCGTATGAAATTATATCAAGAATGAAAGATGAGACAAATTCCACATATGCGTAAGCATACGTGGCCAATGAAGCCGATTCTGATTCTGATTGAAATAGCATGAGGCAGATGAAGGATTCAGACAGAAGCAGTGAGAGGAGAAACAGAGTAAGTGGGTGAGGGAGGAATGCTCCTTTTAAGATGTGTAACCATTGCTCTGGGGTATCGGTCTGTATGTACCCTGCAGATGCCTTGTGCTGTCTAATCTCATTCGTTTACCGGGTCTATTTCCATACTTACAGACTCTTCTCATTGCTGGCTTGATAGCTGGTGCTTGCTCATAAACAGAAACCTCTGCTTTCTATCTGATATCTTTAGTATCCTATATTTTTTTAACGACCCTTCTGTGAGGATTATAATTATGTACTAGATAAGTCAGGGCTCACGTACAACAACTCTTAAACAGTGTCTTTCACAAGGAAGCTTCAACAGAATGGACCCTCTTTAATCACTAAAATACTAATCAGCATTTATGCCATTTACTACTGCTATTCAAACGCAGTGAGACTCTAACAAGTGCCACATATTTAGCATTAAGTTAGATCCCTCCCACATCTGCACAGGCATCTACGGAGAGTCATTTTGTCGTTTTCAAGGCTGTTGCTGTGGAGCTTGCAGCTCGGTGTGACGGTAATGCTAGTGGTTAGCTGTCATGCCAAAGAGAAATTCAATCTTTTAAATGAGCTCCAGCAGGCGTACTCCTTCTCTAATAAAAAAGGAACAATTGGAGGCTGGCACACGCCTGCTGAAATTCCTCCTCCAGTACCTGGGCTCCCCGGGGCCCTTTGTGATGATTCGTAAAGGGAACTCAGCTCTGCTTTTAACACCAACCAAAGGCTTCTAATCATCAAGAAGCAACAACATCTCCACACTTCTGATCCATAGTCTGATCCATTTGTGACAGCCTGCTGGCTGTGCACACCCACCTGCTTTTAGAACGTACTTAATAAAATAGATTAGATCAATTGAAGTACATGCATTGTTCCTTCCTCACCTCAGCGCCCAATAGTAAGCGTTTACAAATACCTCGGAGTGTCACTTGACAATCGACCCAGTGCACCATCGACATCTAAAAAACAAGCCACTGAGGACAATCTGCCATCCGTAAGCTCAAAGCACTGTATGTTCCCTCCCTTTTTCAACTGTTGTATCAAATTATTATTTGTCCAACTAGAAATTTCTGTCGCACCTACTTCTTCAACATGTTATCCGTAACTAAGCAGGCCAAACAGGCATAACCAATGGCCGAGATAATTGTTCTCCCAACACTCCAGCTCACAGAGCTGAACAATGAGGCCATTGCACATATTTCAACTTAAATAAAACAGGACATCACTTACTTAATCACTACTTCACCCTACTGACCTTCAGGTGCAGGTAGAGAGTAATGAGGTGCAGAAAGGCTTTGAGGAAAGCCTGATCTGTGCAGCCATAACCACCTTTGTCACGATGTGGTTTCACTTCCTGTTGTATTTTGTAGTTTTCTGCCACTCGTGTCCCCGGGTAACTTCACTTCCTGCCTTGTCCCGTCATCCCCTGTGATCGTCTAATAGTTTCCACCTGTGTCCAATCACCTGCACCTCCCTTGTGTATTTAAGCCATGTGTCTCCTGTGTCACTTGTCGCGTCATTGTCTTTTGCCACGCATGTCCTTGTCCTGTCTTTTGTCTTGGATGCCCATAGTTTCATGCCTGAGTGTTTTTGCCCCTTGGATTTTTGACCATTGACTATTAAAGTCTTTTTGTATTGGAAAACTCTGCGTCTGAGTCCTGCCTTCCACCCCCAACCCTGACAGAATGACGTGACCAAGAAAGGACTCAGCAGAGTTTTTTCCCTTGGACGAGTTCAGGGGAACCCGTCTGGCAATGGGCGGTCCACGGAGTCTCCAGCGGGCTGCCCGTAGTGGGGGAACGGTCCTCCCGGGGGTTCCAGCTGGGTACTTGTACTACTCCGTCTCCCCATCTGGAGCCCTCAGTAGGCATCTGGGTCACCATCCGCCGCCCCCCACATGGTCCCCAGAGGAGGAGACCATTTCGTGGTCGTCTGGCGGCGATTCGCACTGGGAGCGGGTAATGGACCTTGCGGTCCGACTACAGGCCACCTATGCTCCCCACGCTCGGCCGCAGCGCACTATGTCCAGCGCTGGGCCGCAGCGACGTCCCGACCCCGCTCGGTCGCAGCGCAAGATGTCCAGCGCTGGGCCGCAGCGACGTCCCGACCCCGCTCGGTCGCAGCGCAAGATGTCCCGCGCTGGGCCGCAGCAGATTCCCGTCCCGGCCTCCCGACCCAAGCCCATGACCTCCGAGCCAGTGCCACGATCCATGCCCCCGACCCCCGAGCCAGTGCCACGATCCATGCCCCCGACCCCCGAGCCAGTGCCACGATCCATGCCCCCGACCCCCGAGCCAGTGCCACGATCCATGTCCCCGACCCCCGAGCCAGCGC